TGAGTGTGCATTAGCACTATTCACAGCAGGCTGTCGACAAGTTTAGCCACTGGATTAACAACTATTTGTTGTATCCTTCTCGCCTTTTCTTTCTTTCTTTGTGTAGCCTCTGGAAATAATCACATGCAGCCACGTCCGAAGAAATCCTTATAAACCTCCTGCCAAAATGAATCATCCTACGGGATTTTGGAAAAAGGACAGAAAATTTTTTTCGCCTGTTCAAGTCAAATGGGTGGAATAGTTGATGTGATGCGAGTCGTATCTGCGTAGTTTGTAAGCACACAAATAGGTGTCCGAAAAAAATACTGCATTACACCGGACTACCTTCCTAGTGAATGCGTACATGTGCTGCACACATGCTGCAATTAACTCCATAATATTTATGCTTTTAAATTTTCATTGTTTTTATTGGTTGCTTCGAGACTGTTTTTTTGCCCATTTCGATTTTAAAAATACCCACCTTGGACTTATATGTTTTTTGCGTAGAACCTTCAAATTAAAAATTTGCTCGGGAAGGTCGTGTTAAAGTAAGAGACTACAATATTTCCTCTTCAAAAATATATCGGGTTTAAATGTTACGTTTAAGTGGATACTCGTGGTGAGCTAGCAGACCGTTTTTGAACCCTGGTAAGTCTGGCCGTTTAGCGACATGACTGTAAAACTAGTTAAAACAGCCTCCTGCCCAAGCGTGGTTATTTGGGCTATAAGTAAATAACTTTAGTACACTGTACAACACAGCATGCACTCACGCACACACACAACTCACGTGCGCTCGACAAGGTGAGCTGTGATTGGGTAACGTCAGCGGCGCGTTGATTGGTTGAAGCAAAAGTGGCGCTCGTGGTGCGTTGTGATGCCACATCAGCGTGTGCATTTCCCGGGTGTAAGCTGCTTCGCGCTATCGCTCTAGCCAGCCCTTGTCATTGTCGTCCTTTCTCCCTCTCTCTCTCTCTCTCTCGCAAGACCTTGCGCAATGCAATAGGCATGCTTAATAAACGGAGACATGGACAATTCTACCAGCGCCGCCGCAGCCAACACCACCACCACCACTGCCAACTCGAGTACTCCCAAAGCCGCCAACTCCACCGAATCCCCCACTGTGCTTGCCAGGGCAATCTACGACAACAATTCCGAAGTTGCACAGGAACTTAGTTTTTCACGTGGGGACGTCCTTACTGTGCTTAAACAAGATCCTCCCGGATTTGAGGGCTGGTGGATTTGTAGTTTCGCGGGCAAAGTTGGAATCGCTCCCGGGAACCGACTGGAGATCTTGGGGGTCGTTAAAGTACGTCTAAGCCGAATTTTGTTTTACTGCGCTGTCTTATATGTGGCGGGAAGTATGACATGCGTACATACCGACGTACAAGGGGCGGTGTATTTCAAAACAAAGTAATCTATTTGTCCGGGGTGACGTCTTATTGTGTGAGAATGTGAAACTTTTTGCAGACACAACACTTAAACGCGATTTCGAACCAGAATTTTCACATGTCTACCGCCCATGGCAAACCAGTCAAAAAGTTATGCGCTAACGCTTTTACTGCTCTGTGTGTGCATTCGAAGTCTTAATTTTTGGAGAAAAAGTGAATTCAAAAATGTAAACGCTTTTTTTAAAAAAAACCAGGTGGTTTTGGCTGGAGTGCACTTAGCGAGTGCAGATAGAAATTGTTTTAATTTTGCTGCGAAATGCCTTTTTTTTCTGCAAATTTTCGAGGAAGACTAATGGTAAAAGTTGTCATAGCTTGTCAAAATTTATATCATTGAAATGAGTTGATGGGTATTTTTGAAAAGATATTTTGTGTTTTAATAATTTTGCCTTTCAAACGAGATTATTTTGCAACGATTTAATAAAACGCGGTTGGTAGTGTGTAGTTTTTCGTTATTCTTCCTGACCTAACATGTCTGCCGGTTTTTGAAACATTCTTTGTCGCACCGGTTTCGTTCGAAATTAATTATTCGATATTTGATGCGGTTATTCTTGAATGATGCTTGAGACCTTTGGCATGGCGGCAGTGTCCGTATCGATAAAATCTGCTGCAGTGCCATCAGAAGAATCGGAAACACCGTTTGAACAGATTTCCAAGACTAGGAATGTGCAGTCACCATAAACTCGCTGGTCAAAATGAGGTTCAACGTGCAGAGGTGTAGAATCAGTTCAGTGACACACATGAGAGGGCAAAATGATTAATATCAGGCCAGCCATCGATATAACCCACATCCAGAATATTCCTATCTCCCTAGAAAACCACAAAAGGCTGAAAGTGTACCGCGGGAATTGTCTACTGTGAAGTGATACTTCCCACTGAAACACTAGCTTCTGTATTTTATCGTTAACAGTGTTTACAACCACTGTAATAACATTAAAAGTTGATTATCTAATAACTAAAGACATTCACCGAATTTTTCGGTTCATTGTCAGCTGTTCAGGTACCCATAGCAGTCTCTCCATGTGACAGACGTTAAAACAGCTCTCGTGAAATTTGCTGCATGGA